TGCTACACTTGGGATAATTATTTTTAAAAGGATTTTTTCCTTTTTTGTTGTTTGATACTCAGATCAAATATCCCAGTGTTTGGAACTGAACAGGACTCTTTATACCTTTTTTTTTTTAAGTATATGTTTCCCACCTGTCTTGTTTCAAATAGTTATTTGGGCTGAAATACTGGTTTACTGCTCTCTTTGCTTTCTGAACAGTCATCTGCTTATGTGCAGTAGATTCTTCTCTTTGGTGGATGATCACAGTTCACAGATGAGGATTCCAGAGCAAGTGAATTGTCCTCAGTTTTGCACATCTCTGTTTTCAACAGATGTTCAAAATTCAGCAGTTTCCTAGAGTTTGCATATTTATATAATATCAATTCTAGTAAATTGGAGTCACCAGAAATTGAGGGTAGGGAGAAAAATGTTTTTTCGTTCCAGCTTTTGGAGTGTAGTTTCTTGTGCACTGGAGTTAGCTGGGCAAGATACTCAGCAAATGGGCAGGTTCCAGGGAGGTAGGTGCAGACTTCTTTTGGACTCTGACTTTGAGAAAGTTCTCGGGGAGATCCTGAGCTTTTATGGCCATGCAAATAGTTACAGTGGCTTGGGAGGCCGTGTATAACTTTAACTTGGTGAAGCAACTTTCCATGGGTTATCTGGAAAGTAACCATCTGGGCTCTGCCATGACTGACCTTATTTTGTCTTCATATTAGTGATTGAGAAGGAATAGAACTTGAAGCTGTTTAAAAAAAAAGAACAACAACTTAAAGAAACCAGACTGTTTCTTCCCTTTACTTTGCTTCCGGGCTGCCTGTCTTCTGGAGGTATCAGGAGAGCTATGCTCATGGCTAGATTTCTAGCATGGGAAGGAAAGAGTGAAATGTGGAAATCCTGAATAAATATCTGATTTAAAAAGTAATTTTTAGAAGTCTTGAAGAACTTGGAAATTGATTGAGATGGATCAAAGGATTCTCTATAGTGTCTGAACAAAATGCCTTTCACTGTTGGACTCATCAGTTGGATTTACCAGGCACATCAACTTGGTTTAAACATCTTGTTCTATCACCAAGGAGTCTGGAGCCTACTGCCAACACAGCTTTCCTGTACTAGGGATGAAATAGGCTGCTGGATTTGCTCTGGCTCTGTTCCTTGTGGGCAGGTACTGGATTAGTGCCAATATTATTCAGTCTATCTAGATGCTTAACAGGAAGTATGAAAAATTAGGAATATTATGAGATTCCTCAGCACTTGAGGCTTACTTGTGTGTTTGTAGGTGCTGGATTGGCCCAGGTGGTTTGTGGTTAAAGTGCTGAAATGGAGAGTTCTTGCTCTAGAGTGGTCTTTCCAGAAGACTTGCACTGTCACATTTGTGATTCTGCCTCTCCAAGCTCCACTGGTGCAGAGTTGTTTCTCTTGGTGCCACCCAGCACTGGGACTGAACGTGGGCACTTATCTGGCCCAGGCTGTTCAGTACAAAGACAAGCAAAGCTGCTACCATCTGCACAGGTAACTGCCTGGCTTCCCTGAAGAAGACCTGGGAATGAAACAGATACTTGCTACTGCTGGACGGGCATGGCAGGGTGGGGACATGGTGTGGTCCTTCCATGTTTGGGCTCACTTGGTCTTCACAGACACTTCCTGAGCAACCTTCACAGCCTGTAACAAGGACAGGGCCTCTGAAGTACTGAGGATCAGCCTACTGGGATTTGAAAGGTGTTTAGGTGAAAAAGGGACCACCGATTAAAGAAGATGGCTGTTTCCTGCTGTGTTTGGCTGCTGCTGGGGAAAAGGTCCAAGATAGCTATGCCATCTCTTTCTGTCCCTCATGGAGAAGGTATCTTTGTCTCTCTTAGTTGTTAGAAACCATTGGTGATGTGCTGGTGTAGGTACTGCTGTTCTGTTGCCTGTTCGTGGGTTATCTTGATCCTTTATGGGTTATTAAGGATTAGCTGTGGGTTTTGCTCCCAAGAAAGGGGGGAAGCTGTTCAGGTATGAGGTTTGAGGGGAGGGGTTATTTGGGATAACCAAGAGTGGACAATTTGTGGGCACTAACTTGTGATCCCAAGACTAGAAGAGTTGTGGTGGCAGAATTCCCTTCCCAGCATGGGCTCAGCATGGCTATGTATGCTGCAGCACATAGACCTAGTCTGGCATGGTGATAGCTGTCCAGAGACACCTTAATCTGCTGAATAAAGGGGAAATACTAATCGTGTTCTGCATCTTTTTCACCTTAAGTGTGCCCATGCCAGAACACATTGGTGGTTTTTTTGTGTCCCCAGTGTAGAGCACAGTAAATTTTCCCCTGGTGCCAGATGGTTAAGTGCTTCACTGTAGCAACTACCACATTGCCTCTGTAAATTGCCAAAGAGCTGCTCCTGTTTCCAAAGGCTGCAGATCCCACCTGAGAGCTGCTTTGGCCGACCTGTTCTTGGGCCAGGAGAACTGAACTGATTAACAAACCAGCAAAGCAAGGTTTACTTTGCTGCAGTAAGTTGCAAGTATCTGTGCTCATTTTATGCCTGCAGAGAAAAGCCAATCCTTTTCTTTTCTGCTTCCTTTTTTTTGTTGCCTTTTCTTTCATTTTTGTTGCCTGGGATGGAAATGTAAGCAGAGGGAGGAAAAGTGGTGTGACTCTGCTGAAGTGCTTGGGTACCACTGCAGTGATGTGTGAAGGCAAGGAGAAACACTGGGAGTGAAGCACCTTGGTGGTGCTGAGGGTCCAAGCTGCTGGTGCTGCCTAGAGCTTGCTGGGGTAGCTCACCTCTTGGGAGTAACTCCTTGCTCCTGCCTGAGCAACTGGCAGAAGATTCTTATGCATCTCACAGGTAATCCAAGGATTCTTGTCTGGGAGGGCAGCTGACTCCTCCTCATACCTCTATTGTGTGTCTTACAACTCTGGGCCACACATACATCTTGTAGGATGAAGAAGGTTTTGTAGAAGCCTTGATAAGGGCTGTGTGCATGTCTGTCTGTTCTGCTGGCTTTGCAGAATGGCAGATGGAGGGGATCTCTGTGCTTGGAAGGGTGGGCGAGTGCCAGAGCACTCATGTCTCACTTCAGAGTGGATGTGATGACTCACCTGTGCCAGCCAAACCCCACTGCTCTTGCTCATGGTGCTCAGACCATGAGTGCTTCAATCTCTCAACCCACAGACAGGTGCAGAATTGCTGCTGAGTTGGTTTACAAGTAACCTTCCAAGGGTTAATGTATTGTGAGAAGGTTGCAAAGGGCTGAAGCCTGGAATCCCCTCGATTCCTTGCCTGGAGAAACACAAAGTCCAATAAGCCAGCACCCCTGGATTCGTGTTGGGGGGGATTAATTCATGCACTTGATGTTAAAGCTTGTCCGAGAGGTTTGCATGGGGGGGCCATTGCTAGGGCTGGTTGGCCTCTCTAAATGGTTGCTAGGGCCCTGGCATCAAGGTCCAATGTAGCTGCCCACAGCCACGGTCACGGAGGGAATTACACAGCCACAAAGAAATTGTTATTCTACATAATCTGCTCTTTGGAGAGTGACTGTGGGGAAACAGGCTGGCCCCAGCATGCCGCCAGCTCTGTGATCATAGAAGCGTGCTGGCTGCAAAGATCGGCCAGGGCTCGCCTTCTGATCTGGGGACACCAGGGCTCGAGGCGCTAATCTGCTTTATCAGCGATTTCTCTCTCCTGACACAAAGGTGTTTACTTGTTTTAACATCTCCCAGGACTCTATTTCTCCTTTTGTGTGGTCTTTATCCCCCGACGAGGGCTTTAGCCCAGATTACAGACAGAATTAAGGCATTTGGCGATGTGCCTCAGAACTGTGTGATGCTGGATCAAGGAGCAGAATGTAACAAAATAATGGAGGGAGATGCTGAGAGTGACCCCACTGCGGGATCCGTGCTGTTGGCTTTCACGACTGCTTCATTGTCCTGAGAAACAGGAGGCTGTTGGTGAGGGGTGGCCATGGAGCAGAGTTTGAAAAGCAGGTGCTTCAAGTTTTATTGTGTCCAGCATTTTTGATGTAAAGGGTGTGAGGAGAAGGAGAAGGAAAAAAAAGGAGGGTTTGCAATAGGTGGCCATTTCAAGAAGCTGGGCAGATTGCCCACTCCATTCCCAAGAGTCTGTCATGTCTGAATACCACTGGCTGCTGCAGCAGGTGGAATGACACTGGGACAGGCTTTGCCATGCACCTGATGCAATTCTGTGTGACCCAGGGAAGAGGCTCAAGCTTCTTGAAGTCTGGCAGGCCGAGATCTCACCAGACACTATCCACCAGGTGAGCTGCTGGTTTGCATAGAAACAAGCAGCAGAGTGATACCACCACAAAGCACTCAGCATAGAGCTTCATGGAGATCTTGCTTTTGCTCTTTCACTGCAAGCAAGGAATTAAAAAGGAGGAAAGGGTCAAAAAAGGGAGAAAAATCTAGCCTTTGGAAAGTCATCTCCAGATGATTGATCATTGGGGTGGTTGCTTGTGACCTATCACATTCAGCCCCAGATACGGTGTTTGTAGAATGTGGTATAACTGGAGGGGGTTGAGGAGAGCAGCCATGGCAGACTGGGTTGGGAAAGTCTGATTTGCCTGTGGATCTGTGCTGTGTGTCAAAGATCTAGGGAAATACCCCAGTGGACAGTATTTTGAAGGACAGTATGGGACGGGATTGAACATGTAAATGGCTCTTGTAGACTATTTGGAGTCTCACTAAGCTGGGAGTTGTCTCCTATGAAGTGGAGCCATATAATTCAGAATGCTGGTCACTTCTCCCATTCTGCTGGGAGTCAGCTGCATCTGTACCTTGGCTCTTCCTCTTCCAGCTGGGACTCCTGCTGGTCACCCTTCATGACCCTTCATGGTTAATGGCCCAACCAGTAGCAGAAGCTGGGACTGGGAGACAAAAACTATGTGGGCTTTTGTATTCTGTTATATCACAGAAATGAGATCTGGAAGACTTCTGTGACACCATCTCTGCTCTGGCCAGCTGAACTGGAAGGGCTTTTTGCTCTGAATGACTCTTCCCCTAATGTGTTTCATTGCAGTGGTCAGCTGTTGACCTGTTTAGGGACCGACTTCCACCGTGGAGCTGGAGTCCTGGATGTGTTCTATGAAACGCCCTCCCTTCTCCTTTCCTGTGGGTATGACACCTACATCCGCTACTGGGACATACGGACCAGCACCAGGTGAGCCTGCCCTGCTGGGGCCCACGTGAGGCTCCTGCACTGTCCTTGTGCAGCATCTGGGAACTCAGCTCTCACTGAATGAGCTCCTTCAGGCAAAGTGGATGGAGGAATGGAGGCTCAGCCCTGCTCTGGTTTGTGTTGCCCTTGCAGGAAGTGTGTCCAGGAGTGGGAAGAGCCCCATGACAGTGCCCTGTACTGCATAAGGAGTGATAAGAACCATATGATTGCCAGCGGCTCTTCCTACTACGGTGTGGTGCGCCTCTGGGATAAGCGGCAGACTCGGTGCCTGCAGGTGAGCACCAGTGGGAGACTGAGCAGCAGCAGAGCTTCTCAGCTATTCTCTGGCAGCCCAGTGTGCATGCCTTGTGGAAAGAAGAAAGAGGGGCTGCTGGGCTGTCTTTGGGGCTAGTCCACCATGGCAAACCTACCCTATATGCAGGGAAAACCTGCTTTCTCAGACATCTCAGCCTTTGGATCTGTAACACCACCCACTATCTTTGGGCTGACCTTGTTTCTGAAAGGTTGATTCTCCTGTTTTTTGCAGAGCTTTCACCTGTCTTCACCCACCAGCAGCCCAGTGTACTGCCTCCGTTTCAGTACCACCCACCTGTACGCTGCCCTGGCGTCAGCCCTGCACGTCCTGGACTTCACGGCCTTGTGAAGAGCACCACAGCTGCTTCTGGTGACCCCAACTCAGCAGAGCTGACACTTGGCTCAGGGAATTGCAGGGCAGGAGAGGTGAGAAAGGCCCACAAGGCTTCTGAAGGGACGTTTTTGCCTGCCAGAAAGCTACAATGAAGAGTGCACAAAGGGCCAAACTTTCTCAACCATACCTGCCTGTTAGTGAAAATAATAGGCCAATTGTCTTTACCCTTTTTATTTTGTGCAAGTCAGGAATTGTTTTATTAACTGTGTTACTTTTTTTCTTTTTCTTTTTCCTTCCTTTTTTTCTTGTGGATACATCATTTGAGGGGCAGGTTGAGCCAGGATGCCCCATCAGCTTTGTGCTGGTCAGTTTGAGATCAGCCAAGCTCTAAGCATGTGAAACAAGACTAGGCTGTGTGTGGGGTGAACTGATTTGGTGGAAGGGAAGGGTGCCTGGAGCGAGGCCCACCTTTCTCCTTAACTTGCTGTTCTGACAGCTGCTTGTGTTGTCCTTCACAGCCAAGAGCAACAATTGAGCTAAAAGGCAGAGCCAGCCCTGCTTTCAGTGTGCCTCCCCAAGCTGGCCGTCAGGTCAGGCTGTGCACTTGGCAGGGCTGAAATGGTCGCGTTTTGCTAAATAAAACTGAAAGGAAACAAAAGAGATTGTATGTTTTGTTTCAAGTTCTGAAGGGGCTGTGATGTTACCTGCTGATTGCAGGGGCCTGGGTGGGTGGGGGAGGTTGGACCTATTTTCAGATCCCGTCTCCATGTCTTATAGATCTCTCTCCCTGGCTAGACCCTGTGACACTGCTGCATTGAAGGTGATTCCTGGGAGTTTGGATATCCTGTCACTTTTTCAAGCAAGAATTCAAAAATTAGGATCTGTGACCCATTTGGTGCCTGCTTAATGAAGCAGCAAACCAGACTAGTACGAACACCTGGATGTGATTTACTGGGGTCCTGTAAACACATCCAAGCGGGCTCTGCCACTGCTTCCCCTCCGTGCCATGCCAATGGAGGCAGCTGCATCTTGGTCCCTGCCCTCTGCACAGCCCTGTCATGTTGTGGATGGCTGGCACTAAGGAAGCAGCTGCATGTCTTCCTCTTTACCCTGATTCATAGGCTGTGCCCACTCAGGTCTAAACATTGATGCTGTTTGCAGAGATAGCAAAGTCACCAGAGCATCCTGACTTGCATGAAGGAGCTGCATAACTGCACAGGCGGGAGCTGCTCCCAAGCTCATCTCAGGCAAGTAATAGATGTGAGGAGGGAGTTCTTGTTTTCCAAACATTACTGCCTTCAGCAATGGTGGCAGATGGGGAATTCCCAAGGTGTCATGTTGGATGGGGACAGGGCTGCTGGTTGTGGATGTGGTGTGCTTCCTTTGCATACTACAGCTTCCCACAATTCACAGAAGGATCATTCCATCCCTGGAAATGGTGCAGGCCAGGCTGGATGGGGCTTGGAGCAGTCTGGTGTAGTGGAAGGTGTCCCTGCCCATGACAGGGAGGTTAGAATGAGATGACCTTTAAGGTCCTTTCCAACACAAACCAATCTACAGTTTTATGAAATGTCTGCATAAATCAGCAGGCCAGGGCAGCAGACAGGTCAACTGCCCTGCCATCTTCCTAGGCTTACAGAGATTCCTCCAAATTACTCTGTTAACAACAGAACCCATTTTTATTAGATAAGGCAAAATAAACACCATGAAGCTGTGCCAGAGAGCTGCCCCTCACCTCAACCTCTTAGCAGCCACTGCCTACTGGGTCTTACAGTCTCCATCCCCACTGTTAGCTGCCTTTATCTTCTTCAGCTCCTTCTGCAGCTGCTCTTCTGCAGCCAGGATCTCCTTCGGCTTCTGGTACTGTATGACAGAGAGAAATGCCCTTAGCACTCCTGAACTCCTGTCCAGCCTCTGCTCCAAGCAGACCAACTGCAGCCTGTTGCTGCCAGCCTAGCAAGGGCCCTCCTGCCAAGGGAGGCCTTGCCCTTACCAGCAGCCTCTGAAGCCCATTTAGAGAGGTGGTGCCATCAGGCTAAAGACATTTGCCAAGTTCTGGAGTATCTTTTATGGTGCAAGTAAAACTTTCCAGTTAGGTGTGGAATCTTGGCCCCCACCAACCCCTCTGGAATATCCTGGCAAGCAGATCCTTGCTGTGCTCCCTGACCGTATGATCACAAGTGTTTTATATATATATGTATATAAAATATGCATTCTTTTTTTTTAATGCAGAGAGAAGTAAGAGTTGCAGTTCCTCTGTCTTCCCCTCAGAGGCCTCTCACCCAGCTGCAGCTTAGAGGTGGATGCAGGTGCTTTTTGCAAGGTTTGGCCAGTAGCAAACAGAAGCTCAGGAGGACTCAAGGTGCTCCTCTTGGCCCATTTCCTCTGCACGTGCAGCCCAGGTCTGCTGCTAGGTTTCTCATGGAGGGTGTGCCCTCTGTGTAGCTGAGTCTGCACTGAATAAGGCAAACACCTGTTGCTCAAAAGCATCTGTCTGCTCCTTGCAATGAGAAGTTGCAAGTGTGTCCATGTTGCTAGTCTCTTGCTTCTGCCATGTGTCTGGAAGTGTTCCCTCTCTGACACAAAGCAGCAGGTGATTATTTTTTATTGTACTGTTTTAAGACTCTGAGACCTCAAAGTGCAGCAGGTCCTTGGGCTTTTATGCTCTGAGACAAGAGAAACTTAATGTCCCTGAGAGTGGAGGCTTGCTCAGGCTTGAGGGAGATAATACATGGAAAACAGGGCACGACAGACACTCTTCCACCTGCATGTCACCTTGAGCAGCAAGCAGGGCCTCTCCTGCCACCTGGGATCTCTTGGCTAGTGTCAGCATGCCCAGTGTAATCTGAAACTCCCACTGTCTGTGTGACAGAGAAGGAGCTGCATGGGTGACCCTCAGCTCTGCTTCATTTCCCCACATGTAAGGACTTTAGCTTCTTTGTGGACATAAAGAGAAGGGCAGAGTGCTGATGTGCATGGTTAAAACCTCACCGTGATGATCAGGGTGTTGTTGGCATGGGTGAAGCTCAGGGCAGCTGCATCCAAGGGGAGGTGATACCGGTCCAGATCAGGAATAGAGAACTTTTTATAGTACCTACAAATGAGAGAGGAGACAGAAATAAGGAAGGTGGGGTTTCTGTTCTGCCACTAGGAGTGCTAAGACACAGCCTGCTGGTCTACAAAGTGTACATGAGGACAACAGACCTCTCAGGGTTGGCAGGAGGCCCTTGTGCCATGTTGTGTGCCTGCTGATGCCCCCAGGTTAGCAGGAGCACTAGAAACCAACCTCCAAACTGGAAACCAGAGCTGGCAAAGTCCTGAAGAGCTCTGGTGTGTGACAGCAGGCTTGGTCCCTCCAGCATGCCTGTATGTGTAGTGCCAGCTATGGTTAGACTACTCAGCCCTACCAAGGTGTTCCTTGTCTTTTTCCTTGTCCATGGCCTCTCATTCCCTCTAAGTAACAGCTTCCTTTAGCTTTTGTCAAAATAGCTGTCAAAGCACTTGTGACATATAACTTTCTTCTGTGATGCACTGTTTTGTGTTGCAATCCTTCCTAAACCCTTCTTTTTAACTTCTTGCTGCACATCCTAGGTAGCTTCTTGCTTTGGTGGCATGGTGGTGCTCATGCATACCCCGGGCACAGATCTCCAGGTGTAACTGCCCACAATCACCTGAGCCCCTGCTCTGCAGCATCTCCATGCAGCCTGCATGGTGGCTGTGGTGCTCCTCTGCACTTACAGCTCTCCTAGTTCCCTCCCTGGTTTCTATCCCAGTCTTCCAGTAACCTCTCACATCCAAGCAGAGGACAGAGAGGTTTTTGCCAGGTAAGAGATTTTCTAAGACTGTGGAGCCAGAATGCAGTAGACCTGTGTCTGTGTTTGCCTGAGATGATCTGTGCTTAGCATTGCTTGCCTTGCATCTACAGCTTCTCTCTGGGGCTGTACCAAATACACTGGCTTGTGGTCCTGTGCCCACCCAGAGGCAGGGCTGGATTCTTAGTCTCTTCCAACACTCTTGTGGGCAATCCTCTCCAAGGAATTAGCCTGTAGCTGGTACTGAGGTGCCTGGAGCAGAGTGGGAATAGGTAGTGGCTGCTACCATGAGAGGTGGTTCTCAATTCAGCTGGCTGTGTGTGAGGCTTGGCCTCTCGAGCTACCTCTGCCCAAAGTGCAGTTTATTTTCCAAGTCACGGTGAAAACAGCTACAAAGGGCAAATGGCTTTCCCGGTGCAGTGGGAGGAATGTACACGGCTTGTTACCGCAGGGCTCAAACCGTTCTGTGTTGTCACTGCTGTCGGTATTTGGAAAAGGTGGCAGACATGGATAATAAGGGAGATGTCAAAGGTTAAACAGCAGAGATTAGATGAACACAAAGACATGTTAAGGAAGTGTTAACTTCTTACCGATTAGACAAAAAAAAAGCAGTACACAGAAAAAAAACCACTGTTTCAAAGGGCCTTGGGAGTCATCAATGAAACAGCAGCATTCTGCTGCCCCAGGACTAAGGAGAAGGGGAGAAGAATGGCTTTGGCTGGCCTCAAACTAAAATCTGTGACAAGATCAAAGGAAACCAGATCTGCCTTGCCAACCCCTCCTCCTCCTAACATTACCACTGCCTCTCACTACAATAATTGAATCAGGTTTGGCGTTTGGGGAGGTGGCTTTCTAGGTTTGTTTTTAGAGTTCAGTTTAATGGATTTATTTTACAGCAAGAGGTTTTAAGCAAATCCCACTTGAGCAGCCCTTGCCGTGGCCAGAGGGAACAGAGTGACTGGTGGAAGTGAAGAGCTCCTGTCTGGGCTGGGGAGGTAGCTGATGGGTGGTTATCCCAGCCAATGCAGGCTGATTCTCTGCCCTCTCCTCTCACCCCATGGCCAAGGGGCAGTATTACACTCTGAGCCTGAGTCCTGGCCCGTGATCCACAGTACGTATGTGAAATCGCCTCTATTATTTTCCTATTGGAAACCCACTTTTTGTTAGCCCGCAGGGAAAACTGCTACTGGTATGCTGAGAATTTAGAGCTGAGCTACTTAGTAGTGACTTGGCAGCCCATCCTGTTACTTGTGCCTCTGGCTGGCGGTCAGCACAGCTCTGTTGCTCAGAAGCAGCATGGCTGACTTCCAAGGGTTGGAGAGGCTCCGAGGCTTCCTTTCTCTCCTGTAGTGATGTGCGCTCTCTCTGTGGATTCCATGCTGCTGTTGCTATCTTGGAATTAGTTGCTGAGTGGTGCCTTGCCCTGGCTGAGACCCAGGAGAAATGATCTAAGATATCCTGGAGCCTGTACTAAGTGTGCTAGTGCTGGTGTCTGTCCCTGCTCCCTACTGACAGCAACGTCATTCTTGTCCTCAGTGAGGTGGCTTTTCAGCTTTAATTCTAAAAGTCCTTAACTGTCAGACACAGGCCATGAGTTGCTGTGGGGTCCTCTGGCACCAGTCAGTGAGAGAACAAGTGTGAGCTGCTCATGGAAGACTCTCCTGAGAGCAGTACAAAAGAACCAGAAGTCAGGTAGGGCATAGGTAAAGCCTCAGTGCTACATTATAACCTTCTGGCACCTATGCAGGAAATTCCCACATACGGACAACTATCAGTAGGACTGGGAGTAGATAAGCCTGTCTGTGACAGTATGTGGTTGGATTTAGGATCAAGTACTCCATTCCTGTCCT